ATCCCAGCTCTCCTCAGTCTTAGCACAGGCACTCCTCTTCTCTCAGCTACTATGAAATTTACTTTTTAAAACTACATTTAAAAGAGGATTTTAATGTCTTTATCATAAAGGAATGATGAAAATTCAAGGTGATGAATATGCTAATTACATTATTAGACTCATGAAACAATTACACATTTAACAAAACATCTTACCATACACCCATTAATACATACAAAACTATTTTGCCTCTTCCTAACAAAATTTCAAAGGACAAAAAAAGAAAAGAAGATTTGAACTCAGATGCTTGTACATTCATTAACTCTGTCCTGATGAGAAAAGCAAAGTTGTGCACAATCTATGTGATGAAAGGCTATTATCACCATCCAAACTTGTTAGGTTTTACATGGGGCAGAATTTTCCAGACTATTGAGGAATAAAGAGTTTATTAGACAAATTACTAATGCTATAGACAGAGAAGTAACAACAAGGTGAGGGCTTTGAGGAGAGTTCAGGCCCCATCACCAGAGACAAACAGCATGATGGGTATAGAAGTGGAGGTCTGTTCTTACAGTGTTCTGAAGGTGGGAGAGGTTTCACAGCAAGAGTTTGCAGCCAGGCTCTCTGGTTTCCAGGCAGAAAGAGGATAGGGGCAGAAATGTGGCCATTCTTTTTATGTGACTGAGCTTCCCTGATAAGAACTCCTGGCAAGGGTTGCCTGTTACTCAGTGTATAGGATATCTGTGGAAGAAGGGCTGAGCTGAGGCTGGAGTCTAACATCACATTCTTACCAATCCCAGTGGTGAGAGGTTCTTGAGTGACATTGAAGGAACTCTGAGAATAAGAGTGAATTCTAATGGTTGGTTTTGAGAAAGAACATTCCAAATACCTTGGAGATAACCTGTTTAAGTTAGCATCCGTGTTCTTCTTCTGCAATTTTTCTATCACCAAATATATATCTATTGTTTCTACACGTGGGGTGCCACACTAGATAGCAGACATGGACAGGCATGAACCTCTGGGTCGTGTGCCTTTCTTCATATAGAAATACGAGCCCATCCTCTAACTGCTAATATGGTGTGTCTCTAGTTAGGTGGCTTCCAGGGTTAGTCAGCTGAGACTATGTTAGAAAGGTAAAAACAGTTCTGTGGTATGCATGCACACAGACACACAGACAGACAGACACATGGAGACACACACCACATGGATACACACAAACACTATACCAATCCTTCCTGAATCTTTAATGATACTGAGATGGAATTATATGTTATAACACAAGATCTTATTCGGTTGGCTTTAATCAAATAAGAGGTTATCCTGAATGGCCCATTTGACCCACTGGGAGGAGCTTGTAGCTAGAGTTTTCCTGCCTTGCCCACAGTCAGGACAAATCTTTGTCACCCACCAGTCCCATAGCCGCTCAGACCCAACCAAGCAAACACAGACTTATATTGCTTACAAACTGTATGGCCATGGCAGGCTTCTTGCTAACTGTTCTTATAGCTTAACTTAATCCATTTCCATAAATCTATACCTTGCCACGTGGCTCATGGCTTACTGGCATCTTCACATGCTTGTCATGGCAGCAGCTGGCAGTGACTCCTTCCACCTTCCTGTTCTTTCTTTTCTCCTCTCTATTAGTCCCGCCTATACTTCCTGCATAGCCACTGCCCAATCAGTGTTTTATTTATTTATTTATTGACCCATCAGAGCAACACATTTGACATACAGACCATCCCACAGCAGAAGCTTTTTGAAGGGGACCCAAAACCCTTGCTCCATAGACTCCAAACAGTGGCTGGGCCTGCTGTTGCTCTCCCAGAACCCTGCTAGCTTCCTTCCTGACTGCCTACTTGCAGAGAGCATGCCTCAGCTTGTGCCTGGAAGCAGTTGCCTCCTTGTGGTCCTTTGCACGTTTCTGTTCAGTTGTGTAAGCAAATTCCTCCTATAAATCATAAAGCATACATCACTCTCCCTGGTGATTGTTCTCAATACACCCTAACTGATACAGAGGTTTTCTTCTCTCTGCAGTTCCACACTGTGTGTGCAAGGGTCTACTGTTTCTCACTGATGAGTTTATCCTTTATCTGTACATAAAGATTCATGCCCTATGCCACATGACACATGATTTTGTCACCTTTGCCCATACTATGGTTCACAAAACCAATGTTTGATCAAAGATGAATGCTGGGACGAAGATATGGCTTTGACTGTTTTAGCAGCTGGTAGAGGTACTGACCTTCAACCCAGGTATCTCAGTAAACCTTCTTTGCAGTGTATTTTGAATGTGCTTTATAATATCACTAAACCTTCTGTTTTGATTCCAGTTCCCATCAGGAAGGTATAAAGTGGCAGATGCCATCCTAATCTTTTTCTATTTTATAATATGTGATGACTGTGGAACATTCACTTTCTTTTTATACATGGTCATTGTCTAATTCCAAAAGTGACTATTGGTAAACACAGAGGTTTTGATCCAAAGATAGAAAAATCAGAATATTTTCTTTGGAATTTTCTGAAATAAATGAATAGTAAAAAAAATTTTTTTTTGTTTGGTTTTATGTGTGTGTGTGTGTGTGTGTGTGTGTGTGTGTGTGTGCGCGCGCGCGCGCGCGCGCACGTACCACAGTGATGTTTCCCTAGGTCCTCTCAAAGTCAGACAAACAGGTGGGATGCCTGGAGCAGTCCTGGTTTTCTTTCTCTAAAGATTTGTTTATTATGTATACAGTGTTCTGCCTGCATGTATGCCTGCACTCCAGAAGAGGGCACCAGACCTCATTATAGATGGTTGTAAGCCACCATGTGGTTGCTGGGAATTGAACTCAGGACCTCTGGAAGTGCAGCCAGTGTGCTTAACTCCAGCCTTGAGCAGTAAAATGTTTAAATGCTGGTATTTTCTATATAAAATAATGATACACACTTAATCTAGAGTAAGGCCAAACTTACTACCTATGCATATTTCTGGGTACTTCAGGAAATATTGTCAATTAGTGAGACTATCGATTCTATTACTTTGGGGTTTGGGTAAAAAAACACATGACAACCATAAAATCTGGTAGCTTTTGACGACTAATCTTCTCAAAGTGGTCATCAAAGAGAAATGTCAGGCCAAACCATACTAGTGGGAACTCATGAAAGATGGATCAATGGCTGTAAAGCCTGCATGGGACTGGACTAGGCCCTCTGCATGGCAAGACAATTGTGTAGCTTGATCTGCTTGGGGGGCCCCCTGGCAGTAGGATCAGAATCCATCCCTAGTATAAGCAGGCTTCTTGGAGCCCACTATGATGGGACACCTCAGTGAAGCCTTGAGGCAGGGGAGGGGCTTGGACTTGCCCCTACTGGATGTGCCTCCTCATGGGAGGCCATGCCCTCTTGTGGGGGAGAGTGGGTTGGGAGGGAGAGGCTGGTGGGGTGGAAGGAGGGAAGAGGGGGATCTTTGATTGGTGTGTGAAATGAATGGAAAATTTTTCTTAATTAAAAAAAAAAGAAATGTCAGGAATTGTAAATATATAAAACATAGTACATGTCATGTCACCAAGCACATAAGGGAACCCATCACAGGAACAACATATTTATTGAATATGTATTTCTTTTTAAAAAGTACATAAGATGACACAATGAATATATTGCTGACCTTGAAGTTAAACTGCTCATCTTTGAAATACAAACAATAATCATGATACCCTCCTAAGAGTCATGTTCTGAAAATTAAACTGTATTATAGTGTAGTTTAATTCTACAGCAATATATGATTATGCCCTCCCAAACCCTACTGTCTGATTTATAATACAGAAATATACAAAAGAACCCTTATTACTTACTTCACCTTCATTAAATACGTTATGTTAACAAAGAATGATTCTCTTCCTTTATTGAATGAATTATTTAACATCACACTCCAAGGGTTCTTTGGACCATTTTTATCTTTGTAACTAATCGTTAATTAGAAAATCTATACAAATCAGCACATTTCTAGATCTGAAGACATTTTATGTAATGGACTTAGAATCAGAACTTCATCGAAAGAAGTGTTCACAAACATCCTTTCCTGAGTTTTGAATCAGGCCTGACATCAACGGTATCACATTCTCATGCTAAGGAAGAATTGAACAATCCTGGAAGGCATATCTGGTCTTTGCTCCCATTCCATCCTGCAGGGTATAATGCAATAAACTTTTATTGGAGCAATGGTAGATCTGGCTAAGGATCATAACTCCAATCTATTTCCATACATAAATACCACCCACTCTTTCTTCTAAGATAAACAGTATTTTATTAAGATATTAACACAGGAACTTGAGTACTCAAATCAACACTAAATTGACAGAAGGAATCAGTCAAATTTTAATATGTAGGGTTTAATTATTTGCTGAGCATGTTGGCACACACCTTTAATCCCAGTACTCAGGAGGCAGAGGCAGGTAGATCTCTGTGAGTTTGAGACCAGCTTGGTCTAAAAAATGAGTTACAGAATAGCCAGAGCTACATAGTGAGACCTTGTCTCAAAAAAACAAAACAAGACAAAAGTTTAATTATTTATAAGTAATTGTATTATTAGTTATTTCTAAGCAGTTGCTGGGGATGTCTTTCTGTATGCTGTGAATGTGTTGCTCTGATTGATTGATAAATAAAACACTGATTGGCCAGTAGCCTGGCAGGAAGTATAGTATAGGCAGGACAAGGGAGAGGAGAATTCTGGGAAGTGGAAGGCTGAATCAGGAGATGTTGCCAGCTGCCGCTGCCATGAGAAGCAAGATGTGAAAGCAGAACTGAGAAAAGGTACCAAGCCACATGGCTAAACATAAATAAGAATTATGGGTTAATTTAAGTGTAAGATCTAGCTAGCAAGAAGCCTGCTACGGCCATACAGTTTATAGGTAATATAAGTCTCTATGTGTTTACTTGGGTCTGAGCAACTGTGGGCCAAGGGATTAGAGAAAACTCCGGCTACAAGCAGTATACCATTTTAATTTTTAATTTTCAAAATAATGTATTTAAGAAATATTTGGTATAGATGATTTTTAGAGATTTTTATTTTTAAACTCAGACTCTCTAAATATGTATATTAGCATGACTTCATGTTTATAATCAGGGTCTTTTATTGTGAGGCTGCCAAGGCAGGCACATTAACAGGCACATAACATTTACTATCTTCTTTGGTCACAGCTAAAGATCCAGATGTTATACAGATTGCTGCTTCTCTGTCAAACACTTCTCAATATCATCAAGCACTTGAACGGCGGCTTTGGGAATCCGGGTTCCAGGACCAAATACATGGGAAACACCAGCTTCATACAGAAAGTCATAATCCTGTTGAACATATTTGCTTGATATTAGACATTATTTCAACTTCAAAGAAATATACTTTATACATATGTGTCTGTGTGAGTATGTATACCTTTTCCTTTCTCATCTGGTATACTGTTTGCATGTGGAGCTGAAACAAACACTTTTCTTGACTGGGGCAGGTAATAATCACCAGCAACACTATGCTCAGATCCTAAGTCTAAATCAGAACTCTGCCTGGTGTTGTCTGCGATGTGAAGCTATGTAGTCCTAATAAGAAAGGAACTGAGCTTTAAAATCTAATTTTTCTCTGTTCTACTGCTTATCCTTCTCTGTGTTAAACTTAATATCATGATGTTTCCAAGTTTAAAAGTCTATTTATTTTCTCCTGGACATGTAGCTGTCACTAGTGAATAGTGATACTTTGAATGTAGCCTCACAATAAATCAGATTTTCTGTTTACGAAGACCAGTTGTTTTTCTGTTCTGCTGCAGCAGTCATTAGCTTAGTTTAGTGACGGCTAAGTTTTAGTGTAAGGAGTCCTGGGGCACAAGTACTGCCACAGGCTTTAGCCTGCGTTAACAACAGAACATATTTAGCTATAATAGTAAATTTAGGGTGTGCTGTGTGGCTTAACCTTTACCATACACGCCAGATGGTCTATCCTGTGTTTAACTGTTGCAACAGTGGTCTTTTTCTCCCATTTTCAAATGACCAAAACTAGACAATAAATTGCAAATCACACAAATTATCTGCCAAGTAGCCTTTCCTACCTTTGTACTATTCTTACAAATTCTTTACATTTTTTTTTTTTTTTTTTTGCAATAGCATTTAACACATACTCCTGAACCTGTGTCCTTTTTGCCTGAACTTCTGAGAACAGAGTTCATGTCCAGTCATCTTCGTATCCCCTTCACTGGACCTATAAACACTGAAAACACATCACTGTCTGAGACAGCAGGTGCTGTGTTTTAAGAGCCCAAAAGAATGACTGAAGCATCTGGTAACAACCATCTCCAACAGGCTGACTGAGAGGCTGCCTTCTTTTCCTTTCCTAATAATGCAGCATTCCATGGCATTATCCTTACATCTGAGCTATGGACATGGAATGGGATATTGAGCTGGCAGCTTGTGGAATCCTCTGAAATTCTGTAACTCATAAGGTCTGACTTGCTTAAAAGTCTTACACAAGCTTTGTAAAATATACCCTAGTGAGTGTGTTAAAAGTTAACAATTCCTAAATGTGGGCAAAGGACACACAGATGTTGTTTATGCTGTTTTTATTTATGCACCTTAGGTATTAATTTGGAATTATCTCCAAATTAAGGTACATCACAAGGTCTTCCACAAACCAGGCCAGGAAAATTATGCTTCAAAATGTAACTTGGATCCATGTGTTCACTCAGCTAGCCTAAAGCATTTGAGGACAATGATGCAAAGAGGTCCAGATCCTGGCTGAGTTGCAAAGTAGTGGAGATGGTACATTTTTAATCAAACTGCAGAAACTGTAAATGCTGCATCTGGAATGGGTACATCTGCTGGATTTAACACTCTGTGTTACACTTTCTAGTTCAATACTAAGTGGCTTTAAGTTGAGTAACAGTAGCATTTCACAGACCCCCTGTACTATAGTTTAATCAGTGTTCCCCAAAGGCCCACACATTAAAGCGTTGGACCCAGACCTGTGCATGACTGTAAGGTGCTGAAGTGGTACAGGTGGGATCCAGGAGTCTTGGGTGACTAGCCTGAGAATTCCTTCTTTATTTTTCATGTTGGACCCTTAGGTGAATAATTTTCCTTCTCTATGCTCTCCTTGTTACAATATAGATTCCCAAAAGCATCAGTAACAATAGACAATGGACTGAAATCTCCAAAACTGTGAGTAAAAATAGCTTTTTCACTTTGAAAGTTGTTTTTCTTAGATATTTGTTACAGTAACAGAAAACGAATAATGAGTATATGAGCTCTGTTTTCACTACCTAATAAAGGCTACCGATACTAAAAGAAGTATGTCAGAGAAAGCAGCCATGCTCAGATTTTAACTTTATAGTAAAATATATCAAACAGTTAAAGATGTTCTCAGTGACTCTATCAAGAAAGTTAATGTGACTTGAAATATATTTCCTGAAAATACCAGTTTATTCACACAGTATATTTAATATTTTTCTCAACTCTTATTTCAATCCAACTATTTTCCACAGCTTAATTACTTTAATTCCTACATTTTAATATCATGCCCTAGAGCTTAGGAATTATAATTTCCACAGCTGCAAGACATATGAATTATTCCATAGATAGGCAATCTCAATTAATAATAGCCCTTAGCAAAGCATGGTAGCATGTGCCTGTGACTGGCATAGGGGACTGCTTGAGCAGAGTACTGAGACCCACATCTCAAGAAATAAAAAATATACAAACAAATTGGTCTTTCTGTTCCCAAACATAAACTACATTTATGAAAATTGGAAAGTGTATTAATAAATACTTTTTCATGTTGACTATATCATGTTAAAACCTTATTGATGTAGGAAGAAAACAATATGCAAGCCACTCACTGCATCATCACCATAATAGAGGAATAAAGATTATACATCTAGATGCAAAATCATATTTTACTGATGAATGTTGTAGTGGGGTCTTTGTAGCACCTACAAACATTGACTTTCCTATACACTCATAACCAAGTTTTTCCTATTCTTAATTAAAAAGAAAAAATGGTTATCATTGGAAGCCAGATGGGGAATAGGCCTTTTTTGCATCTTAAGTAATTCTTCTAAACCAACATTAATAACACAGGGTGGTGTCATTAATAGTTAACTGACATCATCCATTCTCCATTCCTAAGAGAACTCAAATGTTTGTTAAAGTAGCCACTTCCTCTCACTCTAGCCTATAATATTCAGGACAAGCTGATTTCATGTGCTAGCCATATGGTATTTTTCAATCCAGAAAAACTGTTTCAATCAAAATAGTTTCACTAGTAAAGGAGTTTTATGAAGCTATGCAAATGACATAACTCTGGGGTAGAACAATATTAAAGGATGGGGTCATCGAAGAAATGGATGAGTGACTCTCTACCAGATGCAAGCTACCTAAACGACCCATCTGAAGCCACTATACCTCTGTCCAGGGTATGACAGACACACTGCATTTCCATCATTTGTCTCTCTCTAATGTGAAGCCCATTGCTCTTATTCAAGTCTCTCTGCCACTGTTCACTGAATATGAAGATGGTAGATAGCTACCATAAATTCCTAGTAGTTTTCTCACACAATTTTTGTGGAGAGTTAAGTTAAATGTGATATAATGAATTAAAATATAACCTTAATAGAAAAATAATAGCACTGTCTGCAGAATTTACCTAGAGAAATTACCGGGATATAATTTGCCTCTACATCTAAAATGAATCATCCTTAGAAACATGTCTGTCTGTCTACCTGTCTACCTGTCTATCTATGTACCTATGTACTATGTATGTACGTATGTATGTATGTATCTATCTATATCTATCTATCTATCTATCTATCTATCTATCTATCTATCTATCTATCTATCTATCTATTTATCTATCTATTTATCTATGTCTGCGTTAGTCCTGCATTATCTTCAATTTCATAGCCTAATAGATATGCATGGAGGGGTGGGTGATGTATATGTGTTGTTTTACTTAGCAATTTTCTCTGAATTATTGAAACCTTCCTTCAAGGAAGAAGCAAGGAGATTCCTGAGACTCAGGAAGGCAACTAAATTCACGTGTCTGGGACAGCTGAACCTTGCAGGATTCACAAGGACCCTACCCCAAGGCTACAGGAGCAGCAAACAACTGCTGGAGGACACTGACCAGCAAAGCTGCCATGGAGAGACTTTTCGGATCTATGGAGGTGCCTAAGTCCTGCACAGGGCTCCAGGAAGGCACTTTCTTAAGTCTTCCCCGGGGTCAGGGTGTGCTCTTTACTGATGCTTTTTCAGTGATCTGTTTTTGAGTCACTCCTGCTCCTGTAAGAAAAGCCCTCACTCACGCTCTTGTTAGCAACTCCAATAAAAACCTGTGTGTATCCATGTGTGTGCACTAAAGTATGAAGAAAAAAATACCTGTGGAGGAATCACACCGCCACACATGACCAGGATATCTGGCCGTCCCAGGACAATGAGTTCTTTGATGAGCTCAGGTACGAGGGTTTTGTGGCCAGCAGCAAGGGTGCTGATGCCCACCGCATGCACGTCTGCGTCCACAGCCTGCTGAGCCACTTCACGAGGGGTCTGAGCACACAGAAAGCAGAGAAAGAGCTCCGGTTATTACCAGGCAGGGGTGAAGGAGAGCGCTGGGTACTGAAGTCAACGTCCCACACTGCTGGCTGACTGTCACTGCCTGGTCCCTCGTTCTTAAGTTCTGGGTAGTAGAGAAGCTGTGGTGGACTCAACACCAATCCTGTATGTGCTTCTGGGACTGGAATTTATCAATTACGTCTCAGTTAGAAAAAAAAAAAAATGTCTCCAAGGAATGAATCTTCAAGGTAATCTTCATGGACTACAAAATACCAATCACTCAAAGACACTAATAAAACCTCTAAAGTAAACCTCCCTTTCCAGAGCCTCATAGCATTTCATTCTCAACTGACATTTATTTCCACAAAAATGAGAGTTAACATGAACTTTTTACTTTTTAATCATAAATTAAATGGAATATATATATATATATATATATATATATATATATATATATATGAAAAATGCAGAATTGGTTGGACTTTTTGAAAACAGTTTCAAAAACATCATCTTGGCTTATAACATTGACTTTACTTTTTCTAAATGTGGCACATACCTGAAAAAGAGGGCCTATGTCCACATCAAAACCAAGATCAGCAAATCCTGTAGCAATAACCTTGGCTCCTCTGTCATGGCCATCTTGTCCCATTTTTGCCACAAGAAGACGAGGTCTACGACCTTCACGGTCCATGAATTGATTAACTCTGGGAACATTTCAAAAGGCAATAACATTTAAATATTAACTGTCCAAATGTAAGATATAAAAACCACAATTTACCCACATAAATCTTTTGAGAACACCCACTTATGTACAAGTCATTAATATCTGTGTTTAATAGTGAGAATGTCATGCAAGCCTTGATTGAATATGGTTATCTTCTGTCCAGAGCCAAGTCTGAAAGATGGCACAGTCTGTGAGCCCATCACCCCAAGAGCAGATAAATTCCTAACAAATATAGCCTACTGAAATTAAATCAAAGGACAAACACCTGACTGATCTACAACAGACAATGGATCAAGGCAGAAACAGTCTCCCAAGAAAGAAAAGCTTTTGCCAATCACTGGAGAGTTCTACCCATCCTTCAAAGGAAAACTAATACCAATGCTTCTCAAATGGCTCCATAAACAGAATGGGAAGGAACATTACCACAACCATTCTGTGAAGCCAGTATTACCAGATAATGTGGCCCATTGTGATGATACATAATCAGAATGCGTGTGTGTATAAAATGACAAATTATACCAAACATGTCAAAACACAACATCAATTTTTGTTTTTAAAAAAAAGATTCCCTCTGACGGCTTTTACATTGGCTATTATTATATTATACAGTATTAACAGACTGTATAAGTGTTAATGCAGTTTTTAGAAGGAAGTGTGTTACACAAGTTGAAAACACCAATCACCCAGGAGTCGGTTTTATATCCAAGAAACAACACACATTACAGCTTCATGTCAGGCAGTGGCAACGGTCCTCACTGTCAACTCAGCGAAGACTGACTTTACATTTTGTACGGGTAGCAGCCAGATGTTTGTTTTTCAAATGGGAAAATTGTTTGAACTATTCAAGCAACTGAATCATGTGAAAAAAAGTTATGAAAGTCTATAGCAATATGGTGGTAAGCTCTCTCCCTGGAAGATTTGAAGCAGTATCAGTATTAGTTAAATAAACATGTGTTTGAAATGAGAGACTCCTAAAGGCAACTATGGTGCAAGGTAAAAACAGTATTCATTTTGCCAAATTTTAATATTTAATTTCATTCTCATTAGTCAGTAAATACTATGTTTCATGTAATTATATATAATTTATTATAGTCATAAATTATTAAATAACTAAAGACATCTTCAGAGAATTGAGGTGGCTTTGTCAATATGCAAACATTATACTATATATAAACTTAGT